GGCCAAAGTCGCATTGCTAGCACATTGGATACGTTCAAGCTCTCTCTCTTCTGTAAGGACCAACTCAAGTACCTCTTCCAAGAAGTCTTTAGTGTCCTCTCATTACTGTTCTAACTTGTACTATCATGTTCATATACATCTTGTCTACCTTACCATGAACTTCCTAAGAGCGAAAGCCGTTATGCGTTTGTGTGTATCTCCTCACCTATCAGAATTATTCCTCTTGGGTGCTAACCTGACGCATGTTCCCACACCAGCCTACAGTTTCCTTTTCTGGGCTGTGGCTTTGAGGTCTGCAAGGCGCTGGAGTGGTGTCCAGGCACATTGTGGGCACTGCTGCACATTCGAGTGCATTGCCTTATTTTTAACATACAGATACTTAATGAGAGAGCTTTGTAAATGTTTATAAGGTGTTTTGCAAATAGATGTTATTTGAATCTCATCCTTCCCTCCTTTATTTATTGCAGTTAGCACTGTTCTGGGCACATAGTAGGTGCTTAGTAATGTTTCTTAAATTAAGCATTTCTATATTTACTTGCTCCAGCTTACACTTTTATTCCCTCCTATTGTTGTATATGGCTGTCTTTTTATATGTGTATGTCTTGAATTCCCAACTAAACTGCAAGCTCCAGAGGGCTATAGTCTCAGTAAATCTTTACTGATTGCTTTTAAATGACACATGATAGCATCCTAGCTAACAAAGCATGACACAAGGTAAATCATCCAATGTGAGTGTTTTTATTTAAAATATGTTTTGGATATGTATTTTAAAATAGACATACCCATCCTAAAAACATGCATTTTAAACAGAGATCACTAAGGTAGGAGGGAGCACCTAGGTCCACATGAAGGGGACAAAGAACGGTGCAGAAGTGAGAGGCTCATGGGCACTGCTGGCTGAGCTGCACACAGAAAGGGGTCTCCAGCTGATGGTCGTTGGCTACATTTCTCTGTGGCATTGGAAGAGCTTTTGTTTCCTCTCAGAGCACATTTCTTTCGTTTTTTTGTTCGCAGATTCTTGTCAGGTGGTAAGTGTGTGATTTCTTTTTTTTTTTTTTTTTGAGACAGGGTCTCACTGTGTCACCCAGGCATATTCATGGCTCACTGCAGGTCCAACCTCTTGAGCTCAAGTGATCCTCCTGAGTAGTTGGGACTAGAGGCATGTGCCACCATGCCCAGCTAATTTTTGTATTTTTAGTAGAGACAGGATTTCACCACATTGGGAAGACTAATCTCAAACTCCTGGACTCAAGCCATCTTCTCACCTCAGCCTCCCAAAGTTTGCTGGGATTACAGGTGTGAGCCACCGCGCCTGGCCGTGTGTGATATTTTTGAAGTAAGGTTGTCATTATCACATATCGAGGACTCTTCAATGAGGGAGAGCCTGATCACTAAACTGCCAGAACACACTTAAAAACTTGATACTTCTGGTACTTAGCCAGTTGGTAAGAAGCTAAAGAGTCTGCCATGCAGTCCAACAGCCATGTTGACTAAACTCACCAGTTCTTTCATTGTTTTGATGTTGAACAGTTGTCTTTAATACACTTTTCTCTACTCCTGAGAATGTTCTAGTTACCATGCTGAAATGTTTAAATACCTACATTTTAAAATTAGAACTAAAATATAATTGGTTTGTTAATTAGGAAGACACTGGAGAGTTGGCTGTGAGAAGTTGTGACTTTGATAAGTTGATCTTTTAAAAGTAAAGGCAGTTGCTCTACATCTGACTTCTTTGTGTTCTCAAATATAAAATACATGGCTTGAGATGAAAGATTCTGCACACTTCTACTTATTCATTCCCAAATCCCACATTTCATATTAAATTCACTCAGGATACTGTGTGATGGATATAAACCATTTTATATGATGCAGGGTACAGTATGCACAGGGGATAATTTATTTTCTAAATTTGCTATCTATTATTAGACTTCTAATTACTCAGCTGGATAGAAGTAGAAAGGTCTCATTCTTGTATTAACTGCCTTTTTTTTTTTTTTTTTTTTTTTTGAGACGATGTCTAGCTCTGTTGCCCATGCTGTAGTGCAGTGGTACAATCTCTGCTCACTGCAACCTCTGCCTCCTGGGTTCAAGTGATTCTCCTGCCTCAGCCTCCCGAACAGCTGGGATTACAGGTGTGCACCACCATGCCCAGATAATTTTTGTATTTTTAGTAAAGATGGTGTTTCACCATATTGGCCAGGCTGGTCTCAGACTTCTGACCTCAAGAGTCCCACCTTGGCCTCCCAAAGTGCTAGGATCACAGGCACGAGCCACCACGCCCAGCCACTAACTGCCAATTATTTAGCCAGAGATGATAGGCAGAAGAAATTCATTTTAGATAGTTCAGACTTAAGAAGTAAATTTCTCTCCGGGGAGGTCTAAACATACGTGTGTGTTTTATTTTGTAATAGCCCCAGTTTTTCACATTTTAATTATTCAAACAAAACCTGTCATTTAAGAAATATCTAGAAATGATTGGTCTAATTGTCCTCCTTTGTGCCCACATGTCTCTCACGGAGGAAAGTCAGGATTCACTGTGGTTATGAAAGGAATCTGTACAATATGTTTACCTTCTGTAAAATATTTAGATTAATACTGTGAAGCATCTCTAGAGAACATGGCATTCAATTAGTTTTTATTTCTTGTCATCTCTCACTAGAGAAAGAGTGCACACTTCTGTTTCTCTGAGGAGGTAAACTTGCTTGAAAAGTACAATTTCCATTAAAATCTCTAATTTGGCTTTCTTAAATATAAATCCATTTTTGTTACATTTTAAATAGTCTTAAGGCTAAGTGACTAATTCGTACAGCAATAATGTATCATTCTCTTTTATTCATCTGAAAATTATACTGTCTCGAGAGACCTGAGTTTTGTGTGTTTTGATTTTATTTCTTACTAAAAGACTTCTTTGTGGTTGGAGGGAGCTGCAAAGCTGAGGCAAGTGTGGCACTCAGGGGACCCTGCGTGGATTTGCAGAGGAATAAGAGACTCGGTTTCCCATGGGATAAAGAACTTATGTTTAAGCATTGAAAGAGTTCTTTGATGTGCCAGGTGCTATGTGGAGTGCTTTAGTTGCATTATTTCATTTATTCCTCATAATCCTATGGGATAGTTTCCCCATTCCTATGTCTGTGAAAATTGGAAATCTAAATACGGATGAGGAGTGCTTTTTAATGAGAACACCCCATTACCCGGCCATGCCAACTGCAGGTTTGCTCCGAAGTGTGGAGTTGCTGGGTGGGATGCTAAGATGAAATACTGCTTCTTTCTTTTTTTTTTTTTTCTTTTATGGACTTGCAGTTTGAAACAGGCAGTAGAGCCCAGAAACTTCATATAAGGCACCCAATTGTACTGTTTAACACAAACTGATTTCAAACACGTTAAAATTTCAAGAAGTCTTCCTCTAGTGACTGTCTGGGGGGGTGTAACATGTTTCACACCCACCCTATTTGATTTCTTTGTTGTGAATTTCTTAACGCCAGAGCACTGCTTTAATCAAAACCATTTAGAGGCATCCACTTTAAAAAATAAAAGTTGCAGAAGATTGGGGGTGGCATTTCCCCTCTCATCCCGTGATAGCCAACACCTGAGCAATCTTTTCATGCCCACAGCTCCAGATTATAGGTGTGCTCTCCAAAAGCATCCCAGAAAAACAAAAGGGTTACCCACCAGTCAAGGGTTTGAGACATTAACATACTTGAGTTGAAAGTTGTATTATGAAAAATGTCAGAAAATTGCATGAAAGGAAAATTGTTCCACGAGGAAATACTACTGCTGAAACTCCAAGTGGAAGATGATGTTTTTAATATTCCCTTAGTTCCACATTTGTGTAGTTCTGTAGTGAAGCGACTCATTTAAGAGGGGAGGTGGCCCAGGCTAAAAATAAAGTTTCTTTGAAACCAGATGAGAGTCTAGCTATGCCAAAAATGGAATCCGGACTCTGTTCACTCTCGAGAATGTAAATAAGTAGAATTTTGTGTCACATAAAATAGTCTATGCAAAAAAGGATATTCACTGCCTTTTGTGATAGAGACTAAAATAACCATCAGGAGTATAGCTGTTCTGGGGACTCTGAAGCAACAGTGTAAAATGATATAGTCTAACGTATTCTAATTTAGAAAGATGTCCAAGACAAAGACAGTGCAGAACAACAAGTACTGCATGATTTCATTTTATATACAGACGTACGAATATGTACAGTTATTGGTATATTCATGCATAGAAAAAGAATTGGAAGAATAAACATGAAAATATTAGGTAGAGGGAATGGAAGTTGGAGAGTAAAGGAGGATTTTGGTGGATTTACTGTATATGTTTCTCTTTTAAGTTTTCTCACACACACACACTCACACAAAATTAATAAAACTATAGAAACAAGGAAAGTAAAGCCTGAAGGTCTCAGTGAAGCTGTATAGTGATTAAGAGTATAGACTCTGGAGTAAAAACTGGCAGGATTTGCATCTCAGCTCCTTGACTTACTGGCTGTACATCCTTACACAAGTAATTTAACTTCTGTGCTTCAGTTTACTCAAATGAAAGTCAGGATTAAGGGTACTTGTGTCATATTGTTGTTATAAGGATTAAATAAGTAATCCATGAGAGAGCATATAGACTAGTGCCTGACACATAGTAAATATTCAGTATGTATTAGTTATTATAAATTACAATACTTAGGCAATGTCTAGCTATATTCAATTCTTTGTGCAAACTTTTTAGTTAAAAATGTTTTTAGTGACAGCATTAGTGATCATAATGTATTTTTCTAAAGTTTTCATTGTCATGGTTAATGATACTGTCATTTTTTTTTTTTAACCTCACGGTTAAAGAACTTCACAAGGAAGAATAACAAGAACAGAGTTATCTGATTTTACATAGAGTGCCATACATTCCACTAGTGGAGTAGTCCTGAATTTGCATCTTTGACCATGTAATCTAATATACATATTATTAGTAAACAACAGAAATGTAAATACATAATGAGGCTTTTCTTTGTTCCTTAGGAAGACTATGACCGTCTGAGGCCTTTATCTTACCCAATGACCGATGTCTTCCTTATATGCTTCTCGGTGGTAAATCCAGCCTCATTTCAAAATGTGAAAGAGGAGTGGGTACCGGAACTTAAGGAATATGCACCAAATGTACCCTTTTTATTAATAGGAACTCAGGTATGTCTAGTTTGATTTTCCTCATTTTAGGATAAGCTCTTTGGCCTGCCTTAGGGGTTGCTCTCAGATAAACAGTCCCAAAGCTGAGCAAATGATATAAGTGTTTAATCTCAACTGCAAGTTAATGAGTTCTATCATATTTTTGGAAAAAATTGTGCCAAAAGAAAGCAATTCTATTCCCGGTTTTTAAAAATTAAGTTCTTTTGTTTAATCTTTTTTTGGTATGTGGGGATTAAGTGGGATTACATGCTTTGATTTTTCTTTAAAGATTTGTAATATTATCAGACATTATTGACCTTTCTTAATTAGATTGATCTCCGAGATGACCCCAAAACTTTAGCAAGACTGAATGATATGAAAGAAAAACCTATATGTGTGGAACAAGGACAGAAACTAGCAAAAGAGGTAATGGAACACTTACAGAATTTAAGCATGAATGTAAAAGACGCTAAGATAACAATAGAAGCTAACATTTATTGTGCATTTACTGTATGCCAGACACTGTGCTGAGTGCTTTACATGCATTATCTCATTTAATCCTTGCATGAACTCAGTGAGGTAGGTCTGTTTCCCCAGTTATACAGAAGAGAGAGTGGAGGCTTGGAGATGTCAGATAATTAGCCCGAGATCCTGCAGGTAATAAATGGCAGAGTTGGGTTTCAGTCCAAAGCCTGACTCCTGGGCTGAGGCTCTTAACACCTGTATTACATTGCCAATGATATTTTCCTAAAACGTCACATATGGAAAAAAGCATCGGAAACACATGTCACTACTTTCAACCCTTCATTACTTAAACATTTGCACTGTGCCAAATCAGCTCTGTCTTAAGACTCATTGAGTTAGACAGTGGAGCCACCTAGGATGACAGTTTAAATTTGCGGTTAAAACCAAAAAAATGATGACTAGGTTTGCAAAGAAATGTGTTGAAATTTCTCCAATCTTTTTATGAAAAAAGGATAGAAAATACGAAAGTTCTAAAAGTATATATAAAACAGTGATGCATGCAGTACCTTGTAGCTTATCTTCCTTTGTGCCCCAAGGCTAGGTTTACTTTTTCCCCTTTTTTCCCATTTGGCCTTAACATCATTGGATTCTATTTTTTACATGTTGTGATTTCAATAGGACTTTTGTGGAAACAGAATCCATATATGGTCTTTTTTGTTTGTTTGTTTGTTTGTTTCAGACGAAGTCTCGCTCTGTCGCCCAGGCTGGAGTGCAGTGGCTGGATCTCAGCTGACTGCGAGCTCCGCCTCCCGTGTTCACGCCATTCTCCTGCCTCAGCCTCCCAAGTAGCTGGGACTACAGGCACCCGCCACCTCGCCCAGCTAATTTTTTTTTTTTTTTCATTTTTAGTAGAGACGGGATTTCACCGTGTTAGCCAGGATGATCTCCATCTCCTGACCTCATGATCCGCCTGCATCATCCTCCCAAAGTGTTGGGATTACAGATGTGAGCCACCGCGCCCAGCCCATATATAGTCTTTTAAAATGTAATATCAGGAGACAAAAGAAAGCGAGAAAACTTTTGGAGGACAGTTTTTCCTAAAGCAAAAAATAAATGGCTTTACTAACAAATCACTTCAGAAATTCCATGTATTCAATTTTGTAATCTTGGGGAGAGAAGGAATTTCTAAATGTTATAAAGATAAAAGTCATAAATGAAAATATTAATGATTTAACTGCATAAAAACTTAATACCACATCAAATGCCAGAAATAAAATGAAAAGTCATATAAACAGAGATGGATGGCAGAAAAATGGGTTAACATCCTTAGTGTACAGGAACCTCTTGCATGAGTTAATCAGAAGACACAGATTCCAATAGAAAAATGGGCTAACAATGAAAAATTCACCCCCCAAAATGCAGATTGCCACTGAAGATAGGAAATATGTTCAAACTTATTAGCAGTCAAATGTAAGCTCAATTTGCATCTATAGAATTGGCAAAAAATGAGAAATTAATTATAATACCCGCTATTCCAAGGGTGTAGTAAAATGGACTCTCTGTTGTACTGGTCATTGAATCAAAGCAGTCTTGACAATATGCAAAATCCTTAAAATCATGGACACTTTTGATCAAGCAATTCCATATGTAAGAGTTTATCCTAAGCAAATCATTAGGATGTTGGTCAAAGGGTACAGTGTTAGACTGGAGGAATATGTCTTTTTTGAGATACACTGCACAGCATGCTAACTATAGTTAATAATGGTGGTGCTGGGTGCAGTGGCTCACACCTGTAATCCCAGCACTTTGGAAGGCCAAAGTGGGTGGATCATTTGAACCCAGGAATTGGAGACCCACCTGGACAACATGGTGAAACCCCATCTCCACCAAAAAAAAAAAAAAAAAAAAAAAGCCGGGCATGGTGGCGCATGCCTGTAGTCCCAGCTACTTGGGGGCTGAGGCAGGAGGATCACTTGAGCCCAGGAGGTGGAGGTTGCAGTGAGCCAAGATAGTGCCATTGCACTCCAGCCTGGATGACAGAGTGAGACCCTTTCTCAAAAAAAAAAAAAAAAAACAACAAAAAAGGGGGACTGCATATTTCAAAATTGCTAAAAGAGTAAATTTTAAATGTTCTCACCACACAAAATGGTATTTAAGGTGATAGATGTTAATTATGTTGATTTAATCATTTCACTTGTGTGTGTGTGTATATGTATATATAGAGAAGATATTGCTTTGTACCTTGTATATAAAATTATAATTTGCCCATTTATATTTAATAATAAAAGCAAATTATTAGGGATGTGCTTAAAGAGAGCTACAAAGATGCTGAATTGTTTATAATGGCAGAAATTCCAATCTATTAAAACTTCATACTAAAATATCTGTTAAGATTTCGTATTTGTTATGTAGTTAAAGGGAAAAAAGTAGTTGCAAAACAATATGATCTTATTTCTAGACTCATCAGCATTTGGCACAGTTGCATCCTTCTTGAAACTTTCTTCACTTGGCCTCTCGGTTTTTCTCCCCTTTCATTGGACTCTGCTCCATCTCTTTACCTCCTTAGTCCCTGGTTGGAGGGCCCCAGGGATGAGCACTCAGCTTTGTGGATGTCTTCTTCTATAGCTACCCTCTCTAGGCCTAAATGAGCTTGTCAGTCTTGTGGCTTGCACAGTCTACAACCAAAGATTCCTAGACTTCCATCTCCAGCCTGGACCTCTTTCCTAAATTCTCAATTTGGTCATCCAGCTGTTTACTCACCAAGTCCATCTAGGTGGCTGAGTATCTCAAAATTAATATATCTAAGATATGATTCTTCTTTCTCCAAGGCTGTCCTCCCAGTTACTTAGGTCAAAAGCCCTCAGCTGGGCGTGGTGGCTCACGCCTGTAATCCCAGCACTTCGGAAGCCTGAGGTGGGCAGATCACCTGAGGTTGGGAGTTGGAGACCAGCCTGACCAACATGAAAAAACCCCATCTCTACTAATACAAAATTAGCTGGGCGTGGTGGCGCATGCCTAGTAATCCCAGCTAGTCGGGAAGCTGAGGCAGGAGAATCGCTTGAACCTAGAAGGTGAAGGTTGTGGTGAGCCGATATCAAACCATTGTGCTCCAGCCTGGGCAACAAGAGTGAAACTGTCTCAAAAAAAAGAAAAACGGCCTGAGGTTATACTTGCCCTTGCTCTTTCTCTCATACCACACATCTAGCCTTTGGCACAACATACCTTCAGAACATATCCAGAATCCAGACACTTTTTTCTATCTCTTCCCTCTATCACTTGGTTCAGGCCTCCTCCATCTCTGGCCTGCTTGACTGGAATAGCTTCCAACTCACCTTTCTGCTTCTGCCTATGCCCCATGGTCATCTGTTCTCAATACAGCAGCCAGGGTAAGTCTTCAAAATGTAAGCCCAATCATGTCACCGCTGTGCTCAGAATCCTCCGGTCCCCAGCTCAGATTAAACGCCCAAGTCCGCACTGTGGCCTACAAGCCTCTGCTCCCTCTCTGCCTTACTCATTGTTCCCCAGGCCTCCTGGTTTCCTTGCTGTTCCCTCAAAGTTCTGAGAACCTTTATACTTTTGCTGCTCCCTCTGCCTGGAATGTTCTTCCCTATGGATATGATTCATTCTTTCACTCTTTTCAGGTCTCTGCTCAAATACCACTTTCTCAGTGTGATCCTGTTCCTTGACTACTCCAGGCATGCTCCTGCATCAGGATCTATCTGCCTGGAGCTCTTCCCCTAGGTATCCCTCACTGCTCAAACTTCCCCATTGAGAAGCCTCCCCCGACCCCCACTACCACTGTCCTCAGCACTCCCTGCCTCCCTCACTCTGCTTTTTCCCCACAGCATTTGCCACCATCTGCTCTGTATTCCCTCCCGTGTGCCTCTCACCCAGCAGATGTCAGCACATGTGGATGCCACACAGCAGGGACTCTGCTCTTTCGTTCAGTTCACTGACATATCCCCAGGACCTAAACAGTGCTTGACATATAGTAGATACCCAGTAAATATGTGGTGAATGAAATAATTTTTCATAGAAAGTCTGGAAGGACATACACTAGTATTTTAAAATCCCCTCTCGGGGGTTATGAACATGGACGATGAACGTATTCTTTTCGCATAGCTGTATAACTTTCTTTATAATGATGTGTTTATGTCATGCCAATTGTATAAACATGATTTTATATATTTGTGATTTTTTTCTCCCTCCCAGATAGGAGCATGCTGCTATGTGGAATGTTCAGCTTTAACCCAGAAGGGATTGAAGACTGTTTTTGATGAGGCTATCATAGCCATTTTAACTCCAAAGAAACACACTGTAAAAAAAAGAATAGGATCAAGATGTATAAACTGTTGTTTAATTACGTGAGAAACATCTTCAGTGGCCAAGGAAATTGTCCATTTCTCTCAGAAAGCAAATGAAATGCTACAGCTATACCCAGACCTTTTATAGGTAATGAAGCAGTTCAAAACTTGAAAGAAAACAAAACCTGTCCTCAGAATTCTATAAAGGTTATTAAGAATGTTCCTTAAAGGTTTAAGAAGCAGTAAGCAGCATCTGAAGCCACAATCTATTATAAATACTTTATTTCAACTAGAAGGTACAATCTCTCAGGGGTTTCATAGTTTAAAAAGCTACAATCACATCATGTTGTAACTACATAAAAAACAGTGCTGTAAATGGAACTGCTTGGCTTTGACCATACACATTTCTGCACAGCCCTTACAGAATCTGCACAAAGAAGTATCTCCCTTTGCTCCAGTTAATTGTTCTTGTACGTAAGTTGCTTTCTATTCCAGTATATCCAGAGTGGTGAAATAACAAGGCCAGCCACGTAGCCAAAGGTCGCTCCAAGCGTACAGGAGATGGGCCATACCTGAGGAGAGAATGTATGAGATCAAAAAAGAACAAATGTTTTTATTATTACTTGAGCACAAGTGTAACCTAAATATTTCTATATTAAAGCTTAATGTGCTTTCTTAAAGAATGCCAAAAGTGTAATAAGGTCATAATTGCATTTATCATGAACACTAAAAATGTACACATTTTAGTTAATGTGCATTAAACTGTAACAAGGCTCTGGCAATTGTAGATTTAGTTTGATGCTCCCCAAAGTGCATGAGACACATGCTAAAATTACAAATTAAAATTTTGGGTCAGACTTTGCCATAATGCTGGACTCAATTTAGCTCTCTGAACTAGTTGGTAATTTTTTTTTTTTTAATTCCCACTTTGGCTGTGTACATCAAATGAAATGAGAATTGTGTATGTTGACCAAACCACAAGAAACTTTAAGTTGTGTTAAAGAGGGAAGACCTAGAATCCAAGCATGTTACGTGAAAATTGTAACAGAACAGCTGCTTCCACCTTTCAGATATAGATGTTGGAACCACAGCAGAAGTTATAGAATGACAACTTATATACACATCTAGAATGTAAGTTAAACAAAATACCGGCTTCCAGAGACCCATTTTCTCCAGCTATATTACATTAGGCTAGAAGTAATTAATTTTGAATTATTTAATCTACAAGCAGTGCATGTGTTGGTCCCTAAGTGAAAGGCTCTGCTTAAAAAAAAAAAAAAAAAGTTGGAGAAAAATTTTCATGTTCTTCTGTGAAGCTTATTTGGTACACTGGAGCCATTTCTAATCTTTCTCTGGGGGGAACAGGCCACAGAACTGTGTTAGAGGTGAACCATCTTAATTACTAGTTCTATTACCTAATTCAGCTTCCTTGTTTGGTCTGCTGTGGATCTGCCTTATTGCATATGCCATGCATCAGATAATGGTGTTAGACAAAGCTTCATTGTGAACAACCTAATGCATTTTAGAGAAACAATCTCATCTACACATTTTTTTCTAGCCTTTCCTACATTTAAACTTGCTGTTGCCTAAATTATAATTTTTTAAATGTCTGTGGTGGGCTTCTGTTAATTCACATGACTTAAGCTTATAGCTATGTCTACTGCACAGATTGGGTAATGGAACACTAAACTTTTATACTTGAAAATGACAGCCTTAAATGCTCATATCAGTCACAAATCTAGGATGTACTGTCTTGTTGTATGTGAGCTTTGTAGAGATTTTTAAAAATACAAGCATCACCTTTCCATTGAAGAGTGGAGAGAGTCTACTGGATGACTGGCCAGGAACTTTCTCTCTGCATCAGACATTTGGATGTCTTCTTTCTTCCAAGAAATGGTGGTTCACATTAAGTATCATGGCCTTATGTATGCTCAAATGGAATCTTATGTAACTTTCTTATTTAATTTTGGTCTGCTATTTTTAGATAAAATTGAAAGGAATTGTATAAATCAATTAACATATTAGCTAAGTTGTCCAACACATGGTATAAAGGAATTACAACAGTAAACTATTATACATTTCGAACTTGCCTTTGGGGATTTATGAGGATTTTTTTGGGGGGGCTCCAATTCATATCTCTGAAACCCTTCACACTTGGTTTACTAGCCATTCAAAGTTAAAAGTCTAGAATTTGTCCTGCCCTAACAGAAACAGATTAGGAATTTGTCGACACAAACTGGTGTCACCTGTTTCGTGACTGGGCTTTGGTTTCCTCATTATAAATATGGGAGGTAGAACAGAGGTCTCCAACGTCTCTCCCATTTATCACAATAATTTTCTTATTCACAGTAATCATTGTTGGACGTTACTTTTTCAGTTTCACATTCTTGAGATGGTAAAAATCATGTATATAGATTATCAGAACTCTAAGCAAAGATGACTGTCGCATCTGAAGCTGAGGTGCCTTAGGTACTCTACTGACCTTGATGGGTTTGGAGTTCCCTATTGCTTATCAAGAGCTTTTTAATTGCTTTGGTTCCTTAGTCTTTTTGCAAAAATCCTTCCTGTCACTTCAACTAAAAACCAAAGATTTGTTTTCTATTAATAAGCAGACTAGAGAAAAACTGCCTTATTTTCAGATGCATGTCTTCATTAAAAGCTTAGGTTTCAATAGAAAATCAGATTAATCACTGAAATGACTATTTTAAACTAGTGAAATATCTGGGAAATAAACTGCTTCAAAAATATTTTATTGACATGAATTTTGCTAGTGAATACAAATACACTGCCTCAAACAAGGCCATGTATGAATGCACTTACAAGAAATTTGAGTTAATCAGTGTTTGCATATAGAGAATTAGTTCTAAAGTTCTTAAAAATAAATTTAGGGGCTCCCTGAAATCTTATTTAATACTTTGCTAACTTACACTCTTGTTTTATCTCCACAGGTACATTTTAGGTTAGCTCATGGTGAATTCTATTTACAATAAGTAGAGCTTGGATTAATGGGTTTTGTTATGAATTATCTTAGTTACTTTAGACAGTGTTTCCATTTGATTTTTAACTATTTAAAATACCAAATTAAATACCAGTTTGTTGGTTGTTACTTTTAAATGATTGTTGCTTTAACAGTGTCCCTTCTTAACACATGGGGTTACAAATAAAATACTATGCATAGTTTACTATCTACGTAAAGCACTGAACTTTTTACCTTAGTAGTTTTCATTTACTACCCTATATAAACATTTGGGATAATATTCTTTCCTCTGTTTACACTGAGAGTCTACTAGTCATTGGCAAAGTATGAGTCCCTATACTCTGTTAAAACAGCTCCCTGTTAAAGTATGGGGAGAACAGTAATCCCTCATGAATCCCAGCTAGATTCCAATTTGGGTTACTAAATTGTACTTTAATCATTTTGTAATTTCAGTATGGCTCTTTGTTCTCAAACGCATACATACCACCACACACATTCTTTAAACAGCTGCCACACTTCACCGCCAACAGAATGCCAAAAATGAAATGTTAAAAAATTTTGTCTAATGAAGGGTTACAGCTTGGTACGCTTGGTTATTCATGTTATGTAAATCAAGAAATGCATGCCATCAGCAAACTAAAATGTGGACTGGCTTTGAGGACTGGTAATTTCTTAATTTTAACAATGTCATTTTTTAAAAGAGAATTTCTGGGGGCCAGGTGTGGTGGCTCATGCCTGTAATCCCAGCACTTTGGGAGGCCGAGGCAGGTGGATCACGAGGTCAGATCAAGACCATCCTGGCTAACACAGTGAAACCCCATCTCTACTAAAAGTACAAAAAATTAGTCGGGTGTAGTGGCAGGCGCCTGTCGTCCCAGCTACTTGGGAGGCTGAGGCAGAAGAATGGCCTGAACCCAGGAGACGGAGCTTACAGTGAACAGAGATCATGCCACTGCACTCCAGCCTGGGCGACAGAGAGAGACTCCGACTCAAGAATTTCTTTAAGGGCAGTTTTCATGATTTTTGAAAATCAAAACAGATTATCAAAATAGGAAACAGCAAAAGGAGGGAGGCTGCCCACTAAGAACTATTCCTCAAGCAATTTCCTACTGATTTTCTTATAATTATTCTAAAAATTTTAAAACTACACTATGGCAACAGAATTCATTTGTAAATCCTAGCTTAATCATGTATTTTCATAATTAGATCCTAAGGTTTTCCTTTAAAACTATTTCCTTATCTCACGTATAGAAATGTTTCTATTCAACGTTCTTCATGCCACAAATAGGATTTTTTAAAAAAGTAGTATCTATTAAACACATAATTCAGCTGCAGTGCTATAAAGATTTCTCTAAATTATGGTAATCTGAGATGGCTTTATATTATTTTGTTTCAAGAAAATAGAAAACTTAGAACAAAGGCATTCATGTAAAGGAAGTCATTCACAAGTGTTTGCCACCAAAATGACAAGGGCCCAAGCACTGGAGGCCAGCCTGGGCAATATAGTGAGAGTTTTTTATAAATTTAAATTTTTTTTAGCCAGTAAATAGAAGAAACAACCTATGGTGTATAATCAAATATATTACAACTCAAGTGGGTAAAATTATTAAAATTACCACGAAGAAGAAAAATCTATTTAAAAAATAAGTGGTACGTCAGATGTTAAGTGACCTTGGCCAGCTCATTTTAACATCTGAGCCTCTGTTTCCCAATCTGCAAAACAGGGACAGAAGTACCTACTATACTTAAAATGCAAGGCTGAAGTAATCTCTTAAAATTTGTCATGAAAGCTATAAAGTACCATGTATCAGTGTTCTGTATATTACATGTTTTAACTTGAAAAAATTAAACTTACACGAACAGTATTTCTTCGGTCACTGTCACTACTATGTAGTAAGTAGAATCGGCAGTTTAGAACAAATAGTTCATGAGTAATATGTTATACTGTGTGGTAGGAAGTGGTAGGAACTATTCCCTTACCCTTATAAAGCAATCATCATTTTTTTTTTTTTTTTTTTTTTTTTTTTGAGACGGAGTCTCACTCTGTCGCCCAGGCTGGAGTGCAGTGGCACAATCTCAGCTCACTGCAAGCTCCACCTCCCGGATTCATGCCATTCTCCTGCCTCAGCCTCCCGAGTAGCTGGGACTGCAGGTGCCTGTCACCAAATTAGCCTGGCTAATTTTTTTATATTTTTAGTAGAGACAGGGTTTCAATGTGTTAGCTAGGATGGTCTCAATCTCCTGACCTCGTGATCCACCTGCCTCGGACTCCCAAAGTGCTGGGATTACAGGCGTGAGCCACCGTGCCCAGCCGTAAAGCAATCATCTTTAATACATGCTGCACTTCATGTGAAATGTCTGTTACAAGAGCAAATTCAGGAGCTATACAACATACTGGCATTACGTTAACCATCTGTAGCCTCACCTCAGGAGGAGGAATGATTCCCTGCTGCTAGCTGTCATTTTTCATAAATTTTAAGAAACAAAATAAGTACAGACAGTGGTTTTAAACTCATCATTGGTAGGCATTTGTAATTTTTAAAGGCTCATATGAATGACTCCATTCATTCAAAACTATTTATTGAGCTCCTACCTTAACCCAGCTCCTACCTTTAATTTTGGATACATTTTAGTATAAATTCTTAAAAATGTGTTTCAATATAATAAATATTACTTATAATTTTGGGGGAGATTGACACTGTCACAGATAACATGGAGAAACTGACCTATCTGCAAATCAGAACACCTACAGACATTTAGAACAACTCATGACTGTTAGGATTACTGTCTCTCTCTCCAGATAAAAAAGAAGATAAAATCCAGTTCTCAATCTCTCATGAGCTACTTTTCAATGTTTTGTTGATTGTGCTTATCACAAATTTGCATTTGCATGACTGAAAGAGTTCATCTTTCGAAGCCTGCTGACCTACTGGTTATAAATAATCATTTATATTCTCCTCCAAAATTGGTCTTGAACAGTATGTTGTTCCAGATATTCCTAAAGTAAATGTCATTGACACAGGAATACATGCACAAATGAATCTACTCATCATGATACGTTTCTCTAGTTAAAAACCTGCACTCATCCATGTATACATTCTTCTGTGACTAAGAATACTACTTTAGGAAGAGTTATTTGCGAAGGGGTGTGTAGTTCCTGGTCTGGAATTCTTGTTAAAATGACACTAAAAGGTCCTGGTCACAACTCATGCAAACGAGTTAACTTGGCCAGCATTATTCTCTCACATGAAAGTCCTGTTAGCACAGCATTATCAACATGATTACCCTACAATGAACATGCCTTTTAAATCCAAAATCATCTCATGCCAGTTAAGTGTTAACACATTTTTCTCATGCTTGAAACATAAACCATATTCATATAAATGAGTATTTTATTTTGGTCTAAAACACAGTATCATCCCTTTGGTAATGGAAACACCAATTAATGTAAAAACCTGCAGCTCTTCAAGCAATCAAATCCATAATCTTAGTTTTAATCTACCTCCAGCATTTTGCAGTAATTCATGTAGTTATAATCCTATGATTTCTAGTTTCAACTTATGAAAGAATTATCTGTGGCATCTGTGACTTTAGGAAATGAATATACATGTTTCACAAATATTAAATTTCTAACCTGGTAAAACTGAAAAAAAAAAAAAAACCCAAAATTGTTAAATACAACAATTCCTCATTTATCTGGTATCTGATGGGAATAAGTAAAAATATTTTAAAACAACTTTAAATTGTTTCAAAGACAATCTCAGGTGTCTAAAATTCAAAATCTCCAAATTCAGTTATTTAAAATGCTTTATATCAATTTTCCTTTTTACCTTCATAAGAAATAAGCGTCCTAGAAGAGACTTGATTATTTGGTTCAAATCTTTATTTAAAGATTGTAGCACTGAAGTCCGTAGTTTAAAGGCATGTGTGGATTTGTTAGGCACAAAAGCATTGCATATTAGCTTTAAATATTCTCCTACAAATAAATTATGGCCTAAAATACAGACACCACCACAATGGTCAAGGCATTTAATTAAAACAATGTGAGGAAAGAAATGAAATATAACTAGTTTAGCTATTCCAATGAGACCTAAGCTATGACCATTTTTTAAAAAGAAAAGCTATGTTTTAGTCTCCAGCAAAGAAAAGAACATGGTGCCGTGGGGCTCTCACGTGAATCTGAAGTCTTCCTCTTCCCACCTGAGTAATGCTAAGCAAGATATGTATTCCTCCCCTCTCACACTTTGACTTCTAGTGTATAAAATGGGAGTGAAGCCTACCTTGCACTATGGCTGTGAGGATTAAGTTACTCGTATGACAGGGCCAAGCCCCATGCAGGGTACATGGAGAGATCTACAAATGCTACATTTTCTTTCTACTGTCATCTGAAATGTCAGACAGGATTGAAAATTATGTGAAATCCAAATACCCTAAATTGGTATAACGAAATACCAGAGAAACAGATAAATTAATAGTCCACTCCCACCAACTGAAAGACTGCTGGGCGGAAAAAAATAAAACAAACTGAGACAATTAGCATATTCTCTAATATATGAGAACTCAAATAAATAATGGAATTTGCACTATTGAAAAAATATAGTCATTAAACTATTTGTTTATAGTCACTAAACTATTTCTTTTCTAATGTTACAGGCTCACAAATGCCTGTAACATTAATTAAGTAATAACCACATGTCAGGTGCTGAGCTAGATATTTTAGAGAGATTTTATTATTTCATCCTCACTAGCAAGTGACAGAGCCAGGATTTCAACCCAGTAATCTGGTGCCAGAACTCCTAATCATCATGTTACCTGCCTACCCATTAATAACACATGTGAGTTTAAAAACCTCATGGTCAATTTCCTGTGCTCAGAATAACTAACAATATTTGTTAACCTTCCACTAATTTTTTTAAAACATGAAATACTAGCCATGTTTTGATAAGACATTTTCCAGATAAAAACCTCATAGCTACATATTTTATGAAATATTTACAGCATATTAAATCTAAATCGCAGCCCAAATCTAAATTATTAAATAATTAAATTCCAGTCCTGGGTGTATTTAAGGGTCTGTTGTACTTACTCACACAGAACGTATGCCTTGCATACAGTAATAACAACGAATACTTACTGATTAGCTATTTAGTTACAGCAGATAAAGAATCAAATTATAAAGGTTTTCTGTAGTCCAAATATTTATTTTGTCAGCAACTATAAGATTTCTCCAGAAGTTAAAAAAGGCTATCTGGATTATGGGAAATTCAAATATTTGTTTTCTTGCTGAGATTTTAAGGCAAATAATTAAAGGAGAGGCAAGAAGGTACTTTCAAATATTAAAACAACAACAAAGATGACCAACAGTAGAATGGGTAGCTACCCTACCATATTCTCTTTAACCACATCCCCTTGCTGCCTTCCACAAAAGAAAGGCTTCCTCCAACTATAAAGATGCCTAATTTTTCATCACTTGCCATTATTTAAAATCATGTAAGATTTATATTAAGTTACACAACTTTTTCATTGAGATCACATATTTTCAGTGGGCCTTTCCAATCATTTAATTAAGAAATTATTTTAAACATAAAAATATGCTTGAAACAGCTCATTACAGAATCCACATTACTGTAATCTTATGGTTGGCCTCACGAATGTTATACAATGATTTGAGTTCAAAGTAAAGAAAACTGAAGTAAAACATGTAGTAGATTTTGTGGGGTTTTGTGTGTGTGTGCATGTGTGCGTTTTTAAAGGTATAATTGCTTAACCAGATATTCCCGTTTCGCTGACTGGAATATAAATAAAACCAGAACACAATCCAGAAAAGCTTGCTTTACCACAAACAGATCAAATCTGTACTGGGCTACAAGGAACACAGAACAAGAATCTCTTCTTAATACATGTTCTATTTTAGATAATAAAGTGTATTACTGTATTGTCTTCTCATGAAATTTTGCTCTAACAACATCTCCACTTTTAGGAAATGCCATATTCTCTTATCTGATTTATTGCTTCTCTGGGAGATGCTGTTCTGTGGAGTTAGAATTATTAAAAAATAACAATAACAAAAAACAAGCAACCTTGTTTGCTGGAAATAAAAAGTGAAAAAAAAAAAGAAACCTCATTTCTTTAGTTTATTAGTAAATAACTGCAAAAAGGGCAAGGGGCAGATGAGTGCTATGCGAATAAAAGATTTTTAATTATACATCAATTCTATCATTCCCTCAACAATACATTTCATAATTTAAAAGGTTTACAGTGAATGTGTGGGTCATTAACTTGGAATGTTCTAAAAACCATCCAATAGTAAAGATAATTACACAGCCAGTAATATTCCAGCTGAATGAAACGCTCTTAATGGAAACCAACACTTGTTATGTATTTAAATTAGTTTTAAAATTAAATTAGATTTCCAGCTAGCTAGAAAATCTTTTTAAAAAGTCAGTAATTCAAATGGAAACTTTATATTAATTTAAAAAGTAATACCATCAATTTGGATCTAGTTCATCCTTATTGTTAACAAGCACTGAGGCAGAAAAATGAGTCATCAGCTAAAAGTCTGAACAATCCCAAAATGGGTGATTGAACTGTAAATAACTAAGATATATATTTTCTAAGCAAACCTAAACACATATTTTATAAAGCATACATATTCCCCTTAGTTCAGTTTCTACTTCTGCACTGTCTTGTAAACAAAAAAAGACTTAAATTACATGTAACATATCAAACCTTTACACTCTAAAGTATTGCATCTATATACAAAATGATACATTTATTATATATTATCTTACCAACTCATTAAAGCTGATGTCCCATAGTGCTTTATCAATATTTTCTATTTAGATTTAATTGCATTACTTGAAAGTAAGGAATCTACCCACTTTCAAACAATTTTCTGTGTATACTTTTCAATGATTTTGATTGTCCTCCAATTTAGAAATCACTGACACTCTGTTGAATGATATTAAGTATGGATGACTTCTACAAGATGTCAACAACTTAAGAAACCTTTACTAGCACCAAAAACTTGGGATGAGTATCTGTGACGATACACACCCCAAACCTCCAAGGATTTCTCTAATACAGTGATGAAGAGTTAAAACAGGCAAGGGCAAACCTACCAGACTTACTAAACACGAAAGAACAATTTGACTTTCAGGGAGACACAACATCGAACTGAAAGCACAAAGAATGGAGTTAAGGTAGGCAGTTATGTGCAAGGCACACAATCTGGATCCCACATTTGGCAAATGAGGTATGTATCAAAGATTTACTTCATCAATTCATTACCTAGGACTTTATGCTACAGAGAAAATTGGACAAATATTCAAAGATGTATGTTTAATATGATAACCATATTTGATAAAATATTAATAATAATGAAATAGGAAATAACCTAAATGTTCTTTAATTAAAAACTGATACAGTATTTTACACAAATAATCGAATATTACATATATATAAGTTTTCATTGACATAGAATGAGCTCCATAATATACTGCTGAGGGGAAAAAGCAGATTAAAAATAACATGAATATTATAGTTACAGGCATGGAGAGAGACAGCTGCAAAAATTATCACCAAAAGCAAATGGAGGTTTCCTCTGGGTGGTTGGGGAGGAAAGTAATTTTTACTTTCTTCCTTAGAATTACTAATATTGCTTAAATTTTCTAAATAAATATACATTATCTTTGTAATCAGAAAAAAATTCTCTTCATGTTGGAAAAAGAAAGCACATTTATTTTTTAACACCATAATTCTTTTTGGGAGTACTCTATGAAAATAATTAGAAAAATTCATGAAGCTATAGATTCAAAGATTTTATCACAGCAGTGTTTATTATCATAAAATACTGGCAATAATCTAAATGATCAATCGTGTATTTGTTAAATAAGTTATAAAGTAACTATATAATGGCATACTACAAGGTCATTAATATTAAGATAAGGATACAGTCATCACTGTAAGTTCAGTGACCTTGGGAATGTTACATACCCTCTAGGTGTCAGTTTCCTCATCTGTAAAATGGGTATAAAAAGAGCCCTTACCTTACAGTGCTTTACCTAGCATATCAGCTTTATCTTATTGTGATACAAGATGAAAAATTTGATGTTTGTGAGCTGTCTTGATAACACAGGCCGCTGCTGCAAAAATTACCTTGCTATCTGCTTCTAAAAATTTCAAGATGAACATTCAATTTGGCCATCAATCAAGTTCAGAAAATGTGAATATAAGACCACAAGGGCAATAAATACTAAAGTTGAAAATAGGACATTTCTGCAACTATTAACCTAATTTTTAAAAATTCCTATACTGGCTGGGCTCAGTGGCACACACCTGTAGTCCCAGCCACTTGGGAGGCTGAGGCAGGAGGCTCATTTAGGCCCAAGCACTGGAGGCCAGCCTGGGCAAGAGAGTGAGAACCTGTTTATTTTTAAAAACAATAAACTGCCTATATACAATCACAAAATAAGCTTGTTTATTCATCTATACATGTGCAAAAAATAGTGCTAGAAAATAAAACCAGGGCTACCTAGACGCCTTTGGCACTGGGACAGTCCCTATTAAGAAGTTGCCCAGATTACGATGACTGATAGAATTGGTATCCCTACTTAATTGAACAACAGAACAATTTACGTATACATACTAGTTTGCTTCATCAGTTTTACTATCATTGTACAAACATTTACTTTGTTGCTTTAAGTAACTGAAACCAACCTGCCATGGTCTTTCCCAATCCAGCGGAATAGGAAGTGCTCCAAGCCATGCTCCTACAAAACTAGAAATTGTAGTCATCTGGAGACTATTCTCCCATATGGATGAAACTCTGTGAAGCACAAATTGGTACATCATTGATGGTACATACATTAGCTGCTAAAGAATCCAACAAGCACTAGCACACATTATCAGTATACATATATTTTCTGTAATTTAAAATGAAAATCTCAAACTGACATATAAATATTTACCATGAACTATTAACAGTTAATTGGTAAGAAGATATAAATGTTTTCCATCGTAAAGGTAATATACAGATATAGTAGGAGTCAAACCATGCTAAAGAGCATTTGTAGAAACAGCTAAGTCCTCCACCCCTATCAACTCCTGGTTCCTTTCCCCACAGGCAACTGTTATTACCAATTACATATTCTTCCAGAAATATTTTATACATGCACAAATACACACATACTTTTGTTTTGAAGGATATATGTATATTTGCATAATTACACATGTACATATGTATATTTCTTCAAAACAAAACTCAGATGCATCATGTTATAAACCAAATTTTGCTTGTTTTTCCTTGGTAACAGTTATAATAGTATTCCATTGTATGGATGGTGCATCATTTATTCAACCAGTCTTTCTTTTTTTTCTGAGATGGAATCTCTGTTGCCCAGGCTGGAGTGTAATGGAGTGATCTCAGCTCACTGCAACCTCCGCCTCCCGGGTTCAAGCAATTCTCCTGCCTCAGACTCCTGAGTAGCTGGGATTACAGGTGTGCACCACCACGCCCGGCTAATTTTTGTGTTTTTGGTAGAGATGGGGATTCATTATGTTGGCCAGGCTGGTCTCGAACTCCTAACTTCGTGATCCGCCCACCTCAGCCTCCCAAAGTGTTGGGATTACAGGCATGAGCCACTGCACCCGGCCTCAGCTAGTCTTTCTTACATCACATTTCATTTATACAAACCAATTCAATTTACTTGGCAAGAAACAGGCAGAGAACAAGAACAAAATATTTCAAAAGATCTGGTGATTTTGCCTACCATTCCTATATACTAAGTGCACATCGGAGAGTGTAAAGGTGGAAAGACTTAATTCTGCCATTCTCTTAGTAGGTGTTAGTTTCAGCCTGGCCCTCATAGTGTGAACTATGTATACATAGTGTGAACTGTAACCAGACAGTTCTGGTTACAGTCAGGTAAAAGCCCACTGCAATGCAATAAGTAGGGTCCAAATATTCAGTTGTTTAAATTGCAAGGTGAAGCTACTGTGAAGTTAATGAAAAGTAGCCGCTTCTAGATAGTATGGGGGAAAACATTTGTTTTGTTAGATGATTTATTTAATTAGAAACAGGCCAATTATTACACGCAAAATGTACACTGAATTTTAAAAGTCGCAAATGATAACAAGTCAGTTCACAAACCAATCCCTCTATCATCCATCCATCTCATACTCCCCAACTACATAAGATAAGAACCCTAGCTTGTTTCCATTGAAGCAGGGCTAAGAACAGGCTGGAGCCAATCACATATATCCAGATTTGTACTATTTTTAGGGCTTTATTGTTCTTTTTTATTTCATATAACACCTGTAAGTCAGCTTTTTCAACTAGCATTCAATAGAACAGAGATCTCTTCCAATGTTGGAAGGAAAAACTGGCCAAGTTCAATGTAAAGAGAACTGTACTGTTCAAGCAATTTAAAGGATTTTCAAAGGCAATTTTTGACTACATGTGGCTGACAATGTTGACTAAGCTCCAACTTAACACACACCTCCTCTATACTGTAATACATAAAGTGGAGACACAAGGTGTGGTAGAGGTTAAGAGCAGAGATTACTTTCTGTTGGGAAGAATTCACTTTTTCTATTTTATGGAACAGGAGGGTTAAGCTGGATTGGAAAGAATAGGTAGCGTTAGGTCTTAAACTGGAAGACAGGAGAAAGAGCTGCACTGCAGACAAAAGAACATAAATCAGATTGCTAGAGGCCAAGAGAAGTACGAGAAATAAGGCTGGAAAAGTAGGGCAGAGTTAGGATTTTTTGTTTGTTTTTTTTGTTGTTGTTTTTTTGAGACGGAGTTTCGCTCTTGTTGCCCTGGCTGGAGTGCAATGGAGCAATCTCGGCTCACCGCAACCTCCACCTCCTGGGTTCAAGCCATTCTCCTGCCTCAGACTCCTGAGTAGCTGGGATTACAGGTGTGCATCACCACGCCTGGCTAATTTTTGTAGTTTTAGTAGAGACGGGGTTTCATCCATGTTGTAGCATGTATCAATATTTCAGTCCTTTTTATGGCTCAATCATATTCCTTTCTATTGATATTCCACATTTTATCTATTCAACAGCTGATGGATATTTGGGTTGCTTCTGCTTTTTGGTTATTATGAATAATGTTGCTATGAACATTTATGCACAAGTTTCTGTGTGAGCATATGTTTTCATCTCTCTTGGGATTACACTTAGGAGTGGAATTGTTGGGTCACATGGAAACTCTACGTTTAATCACTTGAGGAACTACCAGACTCTTCCAAAGTGGCTGAACCATTTTATATTCCTACCAGCAGTGTTTGAGGATTCCAGTTTTTGCACACCCTCCATCATGACACTTGTCATTATCTTTTATTACAGTCATCGTAATTGGTGTGAAATTGTATCATGGTGATAGATTTAGGGTTAGGATTTTAGAAAATTCTTAAATGTCAAACTAAGGAACCATGAAGGTTTTTAATCAAGACAACTATATGATCAGAGATAATTCAGTAAGATTTATGTGGCTGGGCGCAGTGGTTCACGCCTGTAATCCCAGCACTTTGGGAGGCCGACGCAGGCAGATCACAAGGTCAGGAGTTCGAGACCAGCCTGGCCAACATGGTGAAACCCCATCTCTACTAAAAATGCAAAAAATTAGCTGGGCATGGTGGCAAGCGCCTGTAATCCCAGCTACTCAGGAGGCTGAGACTGGAGAATTGCTTGAACCTGGGAGGCGAAGGTTGCCGTGAGCCAAGACCGCGCCATTATACTCCTGTCTCTTATACACATCTAGATGTGTATAAGAGACAGACCTAGGACTGCTGCACAACTGCTGTGTTTGCGAATTTCCCTTTGCCTCTCTTAGTTCTTTTGGATCTGCTCTTTCCTAAATTCCAAGACTTCCTCCATCTATGTTCCTTTTTCTTTTCTTTTTAAGCACCTCCTTCAATAGATTCCTGAGAAAGGAATTTTCTTTTTCAGCACCTCCTTCCATAGATTCCTGAGAAAGGGTACATGGAAAATAGATTCTTAGAGATGTTTGAAGTCTGAAAATGAATTTACTGTAATTTTTGGGAATCATTCTGCCTCGGGATTTGTGGGGGGAGGGTTGTTATTTTTTGGTTTGTTTTTTGAGATGGAGTCTCACTCTGTTGTCCAGGCTGGAGTGCAGTGGTGCGATCTTGGCTTACTGCAACGTCCACCTCCTGGGCTCAAGTGATTCTCCTGCCTCAGCCTGCGGAGTAGCTGGGATTACAGGCACCCACCACCATGCCCAGCTAATTTTTGTATTTTTAGTAGAGACAGGGTTTCACCTTGTTGGCCAGGCTGGTCTCGAACTCCTGACCTCAAGTGATCCGCCCACCTTGGCCTCCCAAAGTGCTGAAATTATAGGCGTGAGCCACAGCGCCTGGCCCTGCCTCAGAATTTGGAAGGCATTGCTCCACTGTTTTCTGATTTCCACTTGAGAAGTTCAGAGCCATTCTGGTTTCTCATCCTCTGTAGGTATCATGTTTCTCTCATTCTCTAGAAACTTTTATAATAATCAATCTTTTTATTCCTGGTTATCAAAAATTTCCCGAAAATGTGTTTTAAAGTGTTTTTTCATCCACTGTGCTGAAAATATATGAGCCTTCTTAATCTAAAAGCTCAGGTCTTCTGGTTCTTAAAATTGTCTTCTATTTAAAGACCTTGTTTATCAGATCACTTAAGAATTTTTTCCTTACTCTTTTGCTAGGAATATTATTATTACTTTGAACTAATTTCTGCTTTTCTTATCTTTTAACTCATTTTGCAATCTTTGCCTTTTTGTTTGACGTGGGAATCTTTTCAACTTTTGTCTCTACTTCTGCTGAGTTTAATAGTGTGTTTATTTCCCAAAAGTTTTCTTGTTCTCTGAATATTCATTTTGACTGCCTCCTGTTCACCTTTTATGGTAAAGTTAAAAAAAAAGTAAATTTTTAAGTTATCTTCTGTCTTTGTATATTGCCTCTATTTCCCCTAAGTTTCTTTTTCGTTGTTTTCATTTCTGGATTTTATGTGAGGAGTCCTCGAATATCTGGTGATTCTTTACTTCTCATTCTACTTAAAACATGATGTATCAAATGTCTAGACTAGGCAAATCTACAGAGATAGGAAATATATTAGTGTAAGCTTGTCTAACCCATGGCCCATGGGCCACATGGCAGCCCAGGACGGCTTTGAATGTGGCCCAACACAAATTCATAAACATTCTTAAAACATTATGAGATTTTTTTTTTAATAATTTATTTATTTATTTATTTTTTAGCTCATCAGTTATATCGTGAGTGTTAATGTATTGCATGTGTGGCTCAAGACAATTCTTATCCTTCCAATGTGGCCCAGAGAAGCCAAAAGACTGGACACTCCTGCAGTGGTTGCCTGGGCCATGGAGAGAGGAGTGGGAATAGGGGAAGACTGCTAATAGTCATAGTTTCTTTTAATGTGGTGAAATGTCCCAAAATTAGATTGTGGCAATGGCTGTACTGTGCCTATACTAAAAACCACTGAATTATACACTTTATGAGTGAATTCTGTGGTATGCAGTTATATTTCAATAACACTATTTTTAAACAACAGCAACAACAAAGTGAAACATTAAATAGTTGACTGGATGTTTACAATGCATAAGTAAGATAATTCAAGCAGGGGGATGCACAGAACTAGGGACTGGGTAGGAACCCTGACTTTCCCTTAGAGAATCCCAAAATGTCAATATCTGTAAGTTTTTCTTTTGTACCATTTTTCCTCGAAAGAAATATTTCAATATTCTGCCTAGATGGTATATAAATATTTCAATATTCTGCCTAGGTATAAGCCTAGCTCCCAGTACTT